CCCGCCGGCGCAGCGCCACCCGGCCTGGGAGGCCCGCGGCGGGGACGGGGAGAGCTCGGAGGGCGGTAGCTCGGCGCGGGGCTCCCCGGTGCTGACGGTGCGCAGGAGGCTGAGCTCCACCCTGGAGCGGCTGTCGAGCCGGTTGCAGCGCAGCGGCAGCAGCGAGGACTCTGGGGGCGCGTCGGGCCGCAGCACGCCGCTGTTTGGACGGCTGCGTAGGGCCACGTCCGAGGGCGACAGTCTACGGCGCCTCGGCATCCCGCACAATCAGCTGGCCGCCCAGGCCGGTGCCACCACGCCTTCCGCGGAGTCTCTGGGCTCCGAGGCCAGCGGCACGTCGGGCTCCTCAGGTGAGGAGGGGCGGGGGTAGGTGGCAGGTGCAGAAAGCGGAAGACAGGGGAGTGCGCTGGAGAGAGGGCTGGAGACACCTACCAGAGAGAGGCTGAAGAGGTGCTGGAGGCCCTGAGGATGGAATTGGCAGGGCTGGAGGAGACGGCGGTTGAGAGGTGGAGGCTGGGAGGCGGCGGCTAGACGCCCTTTTCTGCAGCTTTGGGCTGAGCTGCGGGGAGGTGGGTGGGGGCTTGCTGGTACTGCCGGACAAGTGCTCATGGGCTTGGGTCTGTGCAGCTCCAGGGGAAAGCCGAAGCCGGCTGCGCTGGGGCCTCTCTCGCCTGCGGAAGGACAAGGGGTTTTCACAGCCAAACCTCTCTGCCAGTGTCCAGGAGGACTTGGGTCACCAGTATGTGCGCAGTGAGTCAGGTAAGAAAGACCCCAGGGAACACTCATAGTTGGGTGGGAAGTGGGCCCCCTTGAGGAGCCTGGGCGGCGGGGAAAGGGGCCTAGAGTCAGGAAAACAACAAGGATAGTAATAGCAGCAGCTGCCATGAATTAGCAAAACCCAGTGTCCTATTAAACACCTTAGAGGCGTTGCCTCATTCAATCCGGTAACATTGCTTAGAAACTATGAACATCATCCCTATTTTACAGGTGAGGAAACGGGCTTAGTGATACCAAGTAGCTGGTCCAAGTCACAGGGCTAGTCAGTGGAGCTGCCAGAGTTGGACTGTGTGACCCCCTGTAGCCAGGTCCCAGAAGTGGCTCAGGACACTATACTTACGCCTTTCTTTGGCTGGCCTCCTCTCTGCAGAGACCCTGGAAGGTTTCTGTAACTGCATGTGGTTTTGAAGGAGCTCAGGATAGGGCTCCCCAGCCCCACAGCCTTCCTTCAGATATGTGTGTGCTAGAGTGAGTACCCAAAGACATTTTCTCTCCCTGCCTAGAGGACTGTGCTCCCAATTCTCCATTTCTCTACAGCCCTATGCACTCAGCTGTCCTTTCCTGGGACCTGTCCCCAGAAGGGGCTTCTGCACAGAAAAACAGCCTTCAGAGCTCTTTGCTAGGGGGAGGGGGGCTTGGGGTATGCCCTGGTCTGTTCTCTGCCTGTGCCCTGGGGCTGCAGGGAGAGAAGAATTCTCCACTTGGGGTCATGCTGTCCCCCACATGAAAAGAGGCATTACTCCGGGACTACAAGCAAAGGCTTTTGGAGGCCAGGTTTTCAAGGCCAGAATGCAGGAGAGGAGCCAGCTCCCGCAACCAGACTGGGTGCAGGGTCTCTATAAGCCGTTGGTTCTGCTGTTCCCCTGTTTCCCGGTGGTAGTCAGAATGGTTTCAGTCTTGCCTCAGCTGGGCTTGAGGGGATTGTGTCCAACCATGGTCAGGGCAGTGGGGGCTGTAGTGAGTGAGAAGGGAGGGAAGGCCAGCTTGGGGATGTGGGGAGGAGGGGAAATGAAGAGACCAGCCAACAGAGAATCCTGGGGACATCTGCTCCCCTTCCACCTGGGGCCTCCCTCCCAGCTCTGTTTTGCTTGTGGAGCTGATTTCCTGCCTAGGTGGTGTCCCCTTACCTGTGGGGAGGAGGGGAAATGAAGAGACCAGCCAACAGAGAATCCTGGGGACATCTGCTCCCCTCCCACCTGGGGCCTCCCTCCCAGCTCTGTTTTGCTTGTGGAGCTGATTTCCTGCCTAGGTGGTGTCCCCTTACCCCACCTGCTCCCGTTCTGTGCTCCCCGCAGGAAGAAGGCTGTCCCACATCCATTTTATCAACTAGGGCTGGCCCCAGGGGAGTGGGGGTGGGGCTGGCAGAGCTGGGCCTGGGTCACTTTTCACTTCTCCTCCTGGCCTCGTGCTCTCTTCCCTCTACCCAGTACCCTCACTTGTCTGGAGGGAGCAATCTATGAAACCATGTTCACATCACAGTGTTGGAGCCTCAGTGTGGGACCACTACTTGTGGAGCAATGGGGTACAGGGGGAAGAGGGGACATGCTGCTGTCCTGATCATCTGCTCCTGCCCAGTTCATCCCCACTCCATTTCCTCCTGGTTCTTCAGACAGGCAGCAGCTAGGACTCCCAGGAGTCTCTTAGCTCTTTCAGTCCAGGTGAAAAAAAAAAAAAACCCATCTCACCCACCTTCCCCCACTGCCTGCCCCCTCTACCCAGGACCAGATTGGGATTTTTCTAAGGGACATTCCCAGGGATCACAAACTCAAATCCTCAGGGCACTAGGGAGCCATAGGTCGCTGCGCTGGAGCCAAAATCCTGGCCCCAACTCCACCAGGGGCACAATCACAACCAGCTGGCAAAGCAGCTTCCCTGCTTTGCTGAAACAGCCTCTTTCTCTGGGGGTCTGCTACTGGCTTCTCTACTGGGTATATTAACAAGACAATAATAAGAAGAACAATAAAAGCTAACATTTATGAGCACTTATTATATGCCAGGCACAGACACATGCTAAGCACTTTACATGCCTCTTTTAATTATCACAGTAACCTTCTGAGCTTGGTATTATTACTTTCTTCAACTTATAGACAAGAAATGGAGCTTCTGAGAGGGTAAATGACTTGCCCAAGGTCATGCGGATACTGTCTCTTGCTCCTTCGAAAGCTCTCACCACTTAATCTGCAGGAGGACATAGAAGGTCTAGAACCCTCTTCCCAGACCCCACATGGGAAGAGGGTCAGGGAGGCAGGCTGACACACTTCTGGGGTCTGCCCATGGTTTGCCTTGGCTTCAGATGTTTGGGAGACTGCACATTCTGATTGAATGTTTTACATTTTATCCCTTCTCAGCTCAGATCACTCTCTCCTCTCCCTCCCTTCTCACTTGCCCTGTGGTGGCCCAGAGGGAGTGACTATTGCAGGATCTTAACCATTACTGTTTTTCAATACTTGTTTTTTATTTTATTTAACAAGTGCTTATACAGAACATAGTTCCGGGCCCTGCTCTAAGTGATTTACAGACATATGAGGTAGTTACCAAGCATCTCCAATAGTCAGTGCAAGTAGAGATAGTTCTACGTACAGTGAAGGTCTGGGAAAAGTGACGCTTGCTGCGAAGAAAATTCTCAGAGGTATGGTGGGTTCCACTCCCCCCCACCTCAGAGGTAGGTGAGCCAGTGTCCCTGCAGACAGATGGCTTTCTCTGCTTTCTCTCCAGACTTCCCCCCAGTCTTCCACATCAAACTCAAGGACCAGGTGCTGCTAGAGGGGGAGGCAGCCACCCTGCTCTGCCTGCCAGCAGCCTGCCCTGCACCCCATATCTCCTGGATGAAAGGTAAGGAGATGACATCTCCCACAGAGTTGGAGGTGGAAGTCGGTGAGTGGCCCCAAGCCCAGGGATGGAAGAGGCTAGGTCTTGGGGTGGGCATGGTTCAGGGGATGCTGGGGTGGGGGGCAAGTGACGGGAGCCTGGATGTGTGCTGCCTCAGTCAACAGCTCCTTCTGCCCCTCCTGCCCCCAGACAAGCAATCTCTGCGGTCAGAGCCTTCTGTGATCATCGTGTCCTGCAAAGATGGGCGGCAGTTGCTGAGCATCCCCCGGGCGGGCAAGCGGCATGCTGGGCTCTATGAGTGCTCAGCCACTAACGTCCTAGGCAGCATCACCAGCTCCTGTACTGTGGCTGTGGCCCGTGAGCCTGGGGCAGAACCCGGGGGAGGGGAGCAGGGCTTGATGGGCTCTCTTAGCTCACTGGGACATAGGGGCTCACTGGGACTCTCTTCCCCTTATCAGGCATCCCAGGAAAGCTAGCTCCTCCTGAGGTGCCCCAGACCTACCAGGACACGGCGCTGGTGCTGTGGAAGCCAGGAGACAGCCGGGCACCTTGCACGTACACACTGGAGCGGCGGGTGGATGGTGAGGGACAGGGCAGGATAGTGGGGTGCGGCTGATGGAAGGTAGAGGAGCCTGGGAAGGCAAGTGTCCTCCCCAGAGAGAGGTCCCCTCGCTGGCTCTTCACAGATAGCACTGGGAGCTTGGGTTACCCCTTCTGTGGCCTCAGCCTCTCCCGCATCCTGCCTGCAGGGGAGTCTGCCTGGCACCCTGTGAGCTCAGGCATCCCTGATTGTTACTACAACGTGACCCACCTGCCAATCGGCGTGACTGTGAGGTTCCGTGTGGCCTGTGCCAACCGTGCTGGGCAGGGGCCCTTCAGCAATCCTTCTGAGAAGGTCCTCATCAGGGGCACTCAAGGTCAGTGGGACGAGGAGGAGGGTGGTGGGAGAAGGAAGGGGACTATGAGCCCAGGGCCCACCCCCTCAGAGCACCGTGGCTTTGTCCTCAGGACACCATGGTGATGATTTTCTTTGCCTTTTCTTAGATTCCTCAGCTCTGCCATCTGCTGCTTACCAAGAGGCCCCTGTTACCTCAGGGCCGGCCAGGGCCCCACCTCCTGACTCTCCTACCTCACTGGCCCCACCTCCAACCCCAGCCCCTGCTTTCCCTGTCCCCCCGTCAGTTGCTCTCAGCCCCTCCTCTCCCCCCACACCCCCTAGCCAGGCCTTGTCCTCACTCAAGGCTGTGGGTCCACCTCCCCAAACCCCCCCACGAAAGCACAGAGGCCTACAGGCTGCCCGGCAAGCAGAGCCCACCCCACCTAGTGCCCAGGTCACCCCAAGTGAGCCCAAGTCTTTTGTCCCTGACACTTGGACCCCAACCCCAGCCTCCACCCCTCAAGGGGTTAAAACAGCATCTTCCTCCACTCCCCTCTACATGGTGACTTCCTTTGTGTCTGCCCCTCCAGCCCCTGAGCCCCCAGCCCCTGAACCCCCTCCTGAGCCCATCAAGGTGACTATGCGGAGCCTCAGCCCGGCCAGGGAGGTGGTCAGCTCCCCTCGGGTTGGTCCCCCCATCTCTCCCAGGCCAGAGGGCACTACTCTTCGGCAGGGGCCCCCTCAGAAACCATACACCTTTCTGGAGGAGAAAGCCAGGCAAGAAGGGCTGGGGAAGGGAAGGACGGGGAGAGTGGGTCAAATGTAGAGAACACAGGGATTCAGAGAAGATCAGACTGTCTTGGCTGGGGTCGGGGGAGGTGCTGAGATCTGGGTCCTTAGAACTGCTGAGTTCAAACGTGCCAGGCTCTGTACTAAACTCTTTAGCCATATGATTTCATTCAATCTTCACACCTCTCAAAGGACGACTCTGTGTTATTATCATCACCCATTTCACAGGTGGAAAAACTGAGTTTAGAGAAGTTATGGGATTTGCCAGTGAGTGGCAGAGCTAGGACTCAAACCCTGTTCTTAGGACTAAAATCTGGTGCCCTTACTGGAACTGCTGCAGTCTTGCCCATAGGGGTCCCTGCTACCCACTTTAGCCATCACATGGAAGTGTCCCTCTCCTCCTTCTGAGCCTGTGGTGTCCCCCCCCCACACACACATAGGGGCCGCTTTGGTGTTGTGAGAGCATGCCGAGAGAATGCCACAGGGCGAACGTTCGTGGCTAAGATCGTGCCCTATGCAGCTGAGGGCAAGCAACGAGTCCTGCAGGAATATGAAGTGCTGCGGACGCTGCACCACGAGCGGCTCATGTCCCTGCATGAGGCCTACATCACCCCTCGTTACCTCGTGATCATCGCTGAGAGCTGTGGCAACCGGGAACTCCTTTGTGGGCTCAGCGACAGGTAGCTGGGCATGCCGGGGGAACAGAGGGGACAGTCAGGGAGGCTGGCCTGGGAGACCACCTGCTCCGTGCCTGTCCCCTAGGTTCCGATATTCAGAGGATGACGTGGCCACCTATGTAGTGCAGCTGCTACAAGGCCTGGACTACCTTCATGGCCGCCACGTGTTGCACCTGGACATCAAGCCAGACAACCTGCTGCTGGCCCCTGACAATGCCCTCAAGATTGTGGACTTCGGCAGTGCCCAGCCCTACAACCCCCAGGCCCTGCAGCCCCTTGGCCACCGCACGGGCACATTGGAGTTCATGGGTGAGGGGATCTGTTGCCAGCCAGGATGGGGGATTGGGGCACTGCCAGAAGGGCAGCGGCCAGGGCTCAGCCCACTTCACCCACATATGTGTCACTTATTGAATGCTTACTGTATGCAAGCAATGAATCAAGTCCTTTACGTGGATTTTTTTAAAAATTAATCTTTATAATAGCTCTGAAGTTTGGCATAATATTACCACCCTTTTATAGATGAGGAAACAGAGGTGCACTGAAGTTAAGTATTTGTCCAATCAGACAGTTATAAATGGTAGAGGCAGGATTTGCTAAAGCCGAAAAGACAAGAGAATCAATTATTACTTTATATAAATAAGGAAAACCAGCTACTATTTAGCTACCTGCTAAATGCTTGATGTTCATCATCTCTATTCTTTAGAGTGATTCTACAAGCCACACTTTACAGATGAGGCAGTAGGAAGCCAAACAGGTTTAGTAAATGGCCCAGGGTACCGTTGCTAGAAGGGGCAGGCATAGGATTAGAGCCAGCCAAGCTGATTTCAAGGCTCTTAATCTTGAGGTCAGCCACACTCTGTGGATGGGAGCCCTACATCAGAGTTGATCCAAGGAGCTAGGGACCCGGGCTCTCAGCTCCTCTGGAGTTCTGAGGACCTCCACCATTCATTTCCTGGGCTTATTCCTCAGGTGCCCCACATCTCTCCTGGAGGCTACCCCCACTTCTGTCCTTCCTGTTGGCCTTCACAAGGCATACTGCTCTGGTCATACCCGTGGTTTGGTGACCTGGGCACTGTCCTCCTTAAGCTCCTAGGGTCCTCCCTTGTCTCTGCCCCCTCCCCCACCTCTGCCCACTTCCCTGCCACCAGGAAGCTGGGTCAGCTTGGCCTCTGTCTCCTGTCAGCTCCTGAGATGGTGAAGGGAGAACCCATCGGCTCTGCCACGGACATCTGGGGAGCAGGTGTGCTCACCTACATCATGTGAGTGTCCCTGGCCCCTCCCACACTCTGAGCTCCAGGACCCACCTCCTGCCTACACCCTCTCCTGTGCCCAGCCTCCCTAGTGCACATGCACACACACAGCCAAGTGCAGGGTCACACTGTCCCTGAGCTCTGTGCCCCTCAGAACACCCATGCTAATGTCCTTGGGCCTGGGAGTTGCCCTTAGTTCATGTGTATCAACTGAACTGTCTTCCACAACAGGCTCAGCGGACGTTCCCCATTCTATGAGCCAGATCCCCAGGAAACGGAGGCTCGGATTGTTGGGGGACGCTTTGATGCCTTCCAGCTATACCCCAACACATCCCAGAGTGCCACCCTCTTCTTGCGAAAGGTCCTCTCAGTACATCCCTGGTGAGTGGGCCCCACACCTGCCAACCCACTAGCATTTCCTGCCCCTGGCCTTAGACTGTCCTGGTCCAGCCTGTGCCAAGAATCCCCCAGTTCCTCCCCTTCCCCTAATAATATGCTGCTGCTGCTACTTCTACTGAATAGTTGTACTACCCACTATTTAATGCTCATAGCAGCCTTTTGAGAGGTAGAATCACTGTCCCCATTCCAGAGATGGGAAAACTGAGCTCCAGAGTTGGCTGCTGCTACTTCTACTGAATAGTTGTACTACCCACTATTTAATGCTCATAGCAGCCTTTTTAGAGGTAGAATCACTGTCCCCATTCCAGAGATGGGAAAACTGAGCTCCAGAGTTACCCAAGATCACACATATAGGGGTGGATTCAGGATTGGGGTGTGGTTTGTGGGAGGACCGACCCCACCCACTCTGGGAGCCATCCCTCCAGGCTCACGATCCCTGGCTCGGCCTGGCAGGAGCCGGCCCTCCCTGCAGGACTGCCTGGCCCACCCGTGGCTGCAGGATGCTTACCTGATGAAACTGCGCCGCCAGACACTCACCTTCACCACCAACCGGCTCAAAGAGTTCCTGGGCGAGCAGCGCCGCCGCCGGGCTGAGGCCGCCACCCGCCACAAGGTGCTGCTCCGCTCCTACCCCGGCAGCCCCTAACGGCATGGACCACAGCTCAGCCTTGGGTTTGACTTGGGCTTCCCACCAATGCCAAGGGACATTCCAGGGCACAGCTGAGCCGGGTGGGCCTGGGGCTTCAGATACCACCAGCAGCAACATCTGACCAGGCTATTACCTCATGGACCTGTGGGGACAGAGGCCCGGGGGTTTGGCCTGATGCCACCCCTGGCCAGAGCCAGAGTGGAAGACCGATTGGCCAGGCTGGGCAGGGGTGGGAACAGGAAGAGGGGCAAGAAGGGAATGGGGAAGTAAAGAGAAAAAGGAGGTGAGGGATAAGGAGAGGGAGACTCCAGGAAGGTTGGGGATAGGGGCTACATCTCAGGGAGAACAGAGGAGGGGGGCAAGTGGCTGGAGAGGAGGAAGAGGAAGGAGCCCAGGGGGTCAGGGCAGTGGTCTGGGAGTGAGTGCCAGTAAAGCAGGGACGGGAGCCAGGATGTGAGAGAGGGTGTGAGGTTGGGGAGGAAGAGGAGAGAGGACTTCGGTGGTGGTGGTGGGGTGGGCCAGCTGCTGGCATCACCAGAGCAGAAATGCAGAAACATGGCAGGCTGGAGGCAAGTGGTGGCTCAAGCTGGAGCTCACCTCCTGTCTAGTGACTCAGCTCCAGGCACTCTGTGCTGGCCTAAGGATGTGCCTACTGCCCCTCCATGGCCTTTGCCCCTTTTCCCACTCATATTTATTTATTTATTGACTTTTATGACGTTTTTCCTTCCATCCAATCCCTATTGCCCATGTCGTCCTGACCATCCCCTCAGCCATCCAGCTGTCCATCTGTCTGTCACAAGGAAAATAAAAATGGCAAGCAGCAGGACTTGTGTGTGGTCTGTGGGGAGGGATGGCTGGGGGGTGTGAGCCCTGGGACCTGGGCATTCGCTCTTCTCTGGGCCAGTGAGAGCTGAGGATTCCTCAACACACATTTGAAGGTATACCAGCAGCACCTTGGGACCTTCCAAGGCCCTCCCTTCGCCCTCCTGGCCCCTCACCTCTCCTCATTCCTAGAGGAGGGGAGACTGGTCTGCTTTCCCACTGCAGTTTTTGGAATGCTGGCAGACCCACTGAACCCCCCCCCCCATCTTCTAATATGACTCTGGTAGCCCCCACCTCTTGTCACATGTTCCTGCTTCACAACTTGGGGGACGCCAGGCTCTGGAATGAGCCAGTCCACACCCTAATCATGGCTCAGCCTCCTTTACTCTGCCTAAAAGGCCAGCTCTGGTCCTGACCCCTGGAGCAGAGTGGGTTTCATCTTGATGGTTGGCGAGAGTGAGTGGTATCAAGAGCTGCAACAGAAACCAGGACAGGCCCAAGCCACCCTCTTGGTGTTAGAGCACAGACCAGAGCACACGGAGCACCAGCTGGGAGTGCTCTGGTTGGCTGTGTCCAGCATTTTCCTAGGGCTGAGGGACATATCAGCCTGGGCCTTCTTGTTACCAGGGCAAGTTAGGGGGTCTGCTGGGTGCTAAGGCACCCTGATTCTAGCCACTCCCCTGCAGTGCCACAGAATGGCCACTGGGTCCTAGAACTGAGTTGCCCTTCCCTGAGGTGGGGTGGGGGGCAATGGGTGGATCCAGGTCTCCTTGTATCCAGAGGGATTGTCCCCCCTCTCCCACCTCCACCTTGAAAAGTCTGTTATTGGCAAAGTGAATGTAACAAAGCTGCCAACCATGAGCAGAGAAAGTTGGCACTGGTGTGTGCTGATCGAGGTTGAGGGGCCCCTTGGCTCCAGCTCAAACAACGCTTTGCCCAGCCCAGGCCAGCCCAGCCCAGCCTCACTGGCTCCTCAAGACCCCAGGGAAGAGGCAAGCCCCATCATCATAAAATAACAGGATGTTAAAGCCAGCTGGAGGGGACCAGAGAGACGCTTTGCCCACCTGTTATTTTAGTGATGAAGATATACACTTTGCCAGTGAGAATCTCCAATACCCTACACACTGCTAGTGTTTTCATATAAAAATGAGGTGCCTGAACTCATATCTTGATAAATGGTAAAATTCCTCTCCCGTCCCCTCTCTGATCTGGAGCTTCCTTCCCATCTCCATTGGAAATGGCATGTGAACGGCTTGTTCCAAACCCGGAGGAGCAAAGGTAATTTATGTCAGCAGAGCTGTGTCAAAATTGCTCTGATCAAAAAGTGACAGTGCTCCACACCTGGGCGGGTAGTCACAATGAATACAAGCAATTCTCCTACCTGGTGCCCTGGCCTGGGCAGACTGGGCTCCAGGCAAGCCCCAGAGGGGTTAACTGAACATCAACCTCAGGCGATCTGATGCTCCTATGCATCAGTTTATACCCCCAAAACCCAAAAGGCTTGGGCAAACCTAGGGTTGGGGAGTCAGTAGTAGTGTTAATCTCCAGGGGCACTGCAGTCCAGCCTGAACCTACCATGTCACATCGAGGCGAGTGGGGATGAGGATGATTTGGTGGGGCTGTTGGTCTCAAAAATCTTTCCCAGCCTCTGTAGATTTTTCTGAGTTTACCACCAGGAGGCACAGTGCAGAAACGACAGCCCTAGACTCTAGGGGTAGGGGTGGGTGTGGGAGAGGAGTAAGGCGCTTCCAGGTTGGTCCTGATAGCCACGTGGCCCTTTCATGATTGGCTGTATGGACCATGAAGTCTGCGGCTACTCTGGCTTCATTCAGGGACCCCCCCTCCAAACACTTGCACCCCCTTAACTGACAGTGTCAAGGGACCAGCATGTTGTCTGCCTGTGTGGTCATGATTGGCTGTATGGACCATGAAGTCTGCGGCTACTCTGGCTTCATTCAGGGACCCCCCCCTCCAAACACTTGCACCCCCTTAACTGACAGTGTCAAGGGACCAGCATGTTGTCTGCCTGTGTGGTGACCGACCTGAGTGCAAGCTGCCCCAGCAGTGAGCCAAGTCTCTTGTCAGCTAGGAGCCATGTGCGGTCCTCCTGGGAGTGGGATGGATATCCCCTGCCCTGGAGGGAATGGGGCCACGACCAGCTGTGCAGCTGTCCAGGTGCTGATGGGTGCACCCCAGAGCCGCTTGGGTTTCTCCCCCGGTCCTGCCCCAGTGGCTGAGCCAGCATCCCAGTCATCCTCAGGCTAACTAAGGAATCTGCTTGGATCAGGGGGTGTGAGCCGGGGTCCCGGGGGGCTTGGGGCAACCTCGCCAAACAAGGTAGGAAGGGGAGCAGTGCATAAAACCCGGCCCAGGCCTGAGCACCTGCCCACTCCCTTACTGTGCCATCCGGAAGGGCTCTGTGCTGCCTGCAACCCAGCCAGTCGACCCAAGTCCTGAAGTAAACCCCTCCACGGTGAGTCTCATCCTCAGAGACGCCCCAGACACTCCCACCCGACGGGGTGTTCTGATCAGGCAGGGAAAGGGCTAAGGTGGGAACCTCTGTCTCAGCCTGGACCCCCATGTTTGTTTTCTGCTTTCCAAAGATGTTCAAAGCAACTCCTGCCAAAAAACCAGCGGCTGCAGCCCCACCTCTGGGATGTACCCTGGATATCAACGACCCCCAGGTCCAGAGCATGACAATCGCATCCAGGCTTCTTACCAGGGCCACAGGTGAGAGGGAGCCCTGGGGCCCTCAGGAGGAAGGGAGCTGGGGCTACAGAAAGTGCATTCCTGCACTGGGGGTGGGGGTGGGAGGATTAACACTGTGACGAACAACTAGGGTTAATGGACGTAGGAGGTAGGAGAGAGCGGTTATTGAGGTGTGGAAGGGTTACCGGCAAGAGTGGATCATTTTACCAGGGTAATAGTTCAGGAGCACCCCCTATCCCTACCCACTCCCACCTTTAGGAGTCTGGTGGGCCAAGGGGATGGGCGGGAGACGGTGCACCGCGGACAGGGCTGCGGGCGGGCGGGTGGGAGCCGTGTCATGGGAGCGCCAGGCCCTAGCCAGGCCCGCGGGTAGGTCCCGAAAGGAGCTGCGCGAGAAGGGACCGCCGCGGGTGCTGCAGCCGCTGAAAGACGTGGTGCTGATCGAGGGCACTGCGGCCAAGCTGGAGCAAGGACGGCAGGAGCTGTGCTACGGTCCCAAGTACCGCTATGTCTTCGAGGACCCTGACGTAGTGGCACTGGTGGTGCGCGACCGTGAGCTGGCAGACCTGGGCCAGTACAGCATCAACGTAACCAACGCCTTGGCCAGTGCTCCGACTCGGCGCACATCCTCGTGGAAGGTACGCGCGCCCCGGGCGCAGCGCCAGGGCTCAGAACAGCACCACCCCGCGGGCGTCCGCAGCCCGGTCCAGACGCGCGCGTTTACCGCTGGGCCTAGACGAGTCAGCATAGGGTCGTGGAGAGCCCGACCCCCGGCTGCGCATCGCCAAGCCGGCCGTGTGCGTCCTTCCCTACCTCGGGATCCGGCCGCACCCAGGCTAAGTCCGCTGTGGGCTTCGATCACGCGACTCCAGGGCCCCAAGGTCACACAGGGACCCAGAGGAAGAGCCAGGGTTAGAGCCTGGCTCCCAACCCAGGGCAATTTTCACCACCCAGAGCTGTCTCCGAGGCACCGCAAGGTCTGCGAACATTCCCGGGCTTTTACACGCTGTCTCTTTTGATCCTCTGTTCGACCACACGAAGTCGGAGGGGCAGGGATAAGTCCCTTTTCACAGCTAAAGAGATGAAACCAGAGAGGCTAATGATTTGCCCGACCTCACACTGCGAGTTCAAACGCACTTGTATTTAAGGCCAGATATTAGCTGGGGAGATGATGGCCCTGCCGTGTCCACCTCCAGGTCCTTTCCCTTTGCTTCCTCTAGTCCTGGCGAAGTTTCGAAAGGGACCTGCCAACACTAAAGTGCGCAAAGGTGCCACGGTGACGCTGACTGCGGAGATCGTGGGCGAGCCAGCGCCTAACGTGGCTGGGCCAAGGACAGGGGCGATTTAGTGTTGGCAGGTCCTTTCCCTTTGCTTCCTCTAGTCCTGGCGAAGTTTCGAAAGGGACCTGCCAACACTAAAGTGCGCAAAGGTGCCACGGTGACGCTGACTGCGGAGATCGTGGGCGAGCCAGCGCCTAACGTGGCTGGGCCAAGGACAGGGGCGACATCGAGGAGGATGACAGGCGAGAGCTGGGACCTGCGGCATGGGGAGGGCGTGGGGCTGGAACCGGGGCGGGACTGGGACGAGGCGGGGAACCGGGAGGCGAAGAACAGAGCTGGCTGGTTAGGCTCGTCCGGGGCGCTCGTAAACTGACCCGCGGCTCGGACCTCTCTCTCTGTCCCCCTTCCCCGGGTGCTGTTCCGTGTCGGCAGTACCACCACGGTGACCATTCGCCGGGCCACGCCCGAGGACAGCGGCAAGTACGAGGTGTACGTGGACAACAGCCTGGGCATGGACCAGAGCTTCGCTCGCGTGGACGTGGCCTGAAAGGGACCCTCAGACTTTTCACCCTGGCTCCAAGCTCGGGGGTGGGTGGGACTGACGACCGTCCTCCATCACGCTTACTAAAGCCGCTCTCTCTGATCCTCCGTGTTTATTCCGTTCTTTAGCGTCGCCATGCCCTCTCCCCAGCATCCGCACCCACACTTACTCCAGACCCACAGACAGAGGTCACAGAATGTTGGGGTCACAGGAAGTTTGGAGAGTACCTAGTCCGGTGCTTCCTCTTACAGACAGTAAATCTGACATAGGATTTCCCTCACCGTCGGACACTCCTTCACGTCCCAGAGCTACTGGCCCTGGAGCCCACAGCCCCGCCTTCTCTTCTTTTGTGTCCCTCAAGCCCCACCCTCTGGTGGCTGTTTGCTCTCTGGTCCCGCCCCTTCCGAGGCAGGTCACACCTCCACCCACACCTCCTGTCGTCTCCGGTCCTGCCTTTCCCTGTGACCTAGTTCTCCACTTTGGCTGCTGCCCCTGGGCCCATTCCCGGACATCTCAGGTCCCAATCTCAGGTTCCAGCCTCTGCTTCTCAGGCCACACCCTTCTCACTTAGACCCGCCCCCTCGATCCTTTGGCTCCGCCCCCGGGTTCCACCATCGCTTTCCTTCTCTCACAGTTCGAAAAGGGGGGGAAAAAACACTTAGACCCGCCCCCTCGATCCTTTGGCTCCGCCCCCGGGTTCCACCATCGCTTTCCTTCCCTCACAGTTCGAAAAGGGGGGGGGGGAATCTTCAGAACTACAATTCCCGGCAGGCTCTGCGAAGGAGTTCTCGCGAGTTACGAGAAGACACGTGCGCGGAAGGAGCAAGCAGTAGCGGGCGACCGAGCTGGCATAAAGAGAGCTAGTGGTAAAGGGAGTTGGTGGATGGCTGGCGGAAGGGGTCGGGGTCAGGGGACGGCCCCTAGACGGAGGGAGGGCTCGGAGGTCTCGGCTGGCTCCGCATGTCTGTGCCTGTGCTGGTCCCACAGCCTCTGGCTACCAGACGCTAGGGTTTACTGGACAGTGTCAGTTGTGGGGTTCAGAAGGTCAGCAGTCAGTCCTCCGAATGCAGAAATTCAGCACCGATGGTATTAGGACTTGGGGGGTGGTAGGTTCAGTGTTTAGGATGCCAAGGGGCTGTCTTTTTGTTCGGGGTTCAGCGTATAGAGAGGTTAGTTTTAGGATTCAGGCTGAGCATATGAAGGGTTTTTGCTAGGACTGGGGGCTCATCAAATGCAGATCAGTGTTAGTTCAATACTTGGGGTTCCGCTTAGGATTGAAGTTAAATATCTGGGGCTCAAGGTTTGCGGTTCAGTATTCAGGGTTCACTATTGGGATTCAGGGCTTAACCTTTAGAATGAGGATGCAACAATTTGAGAATCAGTGGGTTTGAGCTTTCAGCTTTTTGAGGGTTGAGGTCTAAGAAGGGGGTCTCTGCTGAGTTCTGAGTTTGCAGAATTTGTTCATGAGCAGAGGGAAGCCTGTTAGAGATCCAACTGTGAAGTGCGAATTTGAGAATTTGGGAAGAATCACTGTGAGGTTTGAAGGCCAACTGGAATCTGGGTTGGGATTTGAGACGTGTGGGATTTGTTAGGTGTTGTGTCCAGGGAAGTACTACTATATTGAACTTTGGTTTTACATCTTGGGAGAGGGCTAAGTGTTGATATTTGGGACTTTAGGTTTGCTGGAGTATGAGATCTGAGCCCAATTTCTCTGTTGGGATTTGAGGTTTAAGTAGCAATCACCATCATGCTCAAAGCCGTGATCTTGATTGGAGGCCCTCAAAAGGGTGAGCAGCCAGAGGAAGGGGGGAGGAGGCTGGGCTGAGTGGTTGGTGGGATGGGAGCAGAGAGAGGCAAGAGACTGAAATCTCCTCTCTTCTCTCCCAGGCACTCGCTTCAGGCCTTTGTCTTTTGAGGTGCCCAAACCACTGTTTCCTGTGGCAGGGGTCCCTATGATCCAGCACCATATCGAGTCCTGTGCCCAGGTAACAGCATAGGCTCCCCTGTCTAACCTCACTTTCTGTTCATCTTCTCCATGCCATATTTCCCCCTTTCCCAGCCATGATCTCTTCCCACCAGGCATAACTCCAAAGTCCATCATTCACAGTTGACAATGTGAATGACACCCCTTCAAGTTGTACATGCAGCTGCCCTGCTGTCTTCCCCTAATCTGGCTTCTTCCTGCTCAGATTTCATTCCTGTTCTTAAAGTATGGAAAGTGAGATCAGGCAGAGATCTCAGAGACAATTTAAAGCCATAGCATGGGGACCCTTAATGGTAAAGCACAGAATTCATACCCTTGCTCACCATGGAGCTCATTTCTTTATTGCTTTTGATATTTGGGCAAGCAAGGTTTTGATTTGAATCCACTCTCTGCCTGCTGTGAGGCTTGACGCAATTTTACACCCTCTCTGAGCCTGTTTCCTTATCTGTAAAATGGGGGTGATTAGACCTCATTGTGGGGCAGCAAAGCTTAGAGGTGATGTTTGTAAGGTGCGTAGTACAATGCAGGCCCTTGATCTCATGCTGATCTCAAACTTATACTGACAGATAATAAGAATGGAGAAAAAAAAATGGGTGGGTTATCCCTTAATGCAGCTTGGGAGGCAAAGTCTTTCCTAGAGTGAGTCCTAATTCAGGTGGGTGGGAGGGATAATAAAAGATTGCAAGATTATGGGCTGGCCGGTTAGCTTACTCAGAGTGTGGTGCTGGTAACACCAAGGTCAAGGGTTCGGATCCCTGTTTCAGACAGCCACCCCCCCAAAATAAATTTAAAAAAAAAAAAGAAAGATTGAAAGATTAGGGCTGAGACTTCCTCTAATGTCCTCATTGTCCAGAGGGGAGAACAGGCCAGAGTGGTAAAGTGAGTGCCCCAGAGCTGAGCCTGCAACTGTGGTCTCTGGACTTCAGGGCCAGCACCAGGGATTTCCCCAACATTCCCTCTTATCAGATACGAGGGGACTTCAAAAAGTTTGTGGAAAAATGGAATGAAAAGATAATATGAATCTTTCCATGAACTTTTTGAAGACCTGGTGTATTTTTTCTCCCAACTTCTTCCCTTGTTCTCAGGTCCCTGGGATGCAGGAGATTCTGCTCATTGGCTTTTACCAACCTGATGAGTCCCTTACCCAGTTCCTAGAGGCTGCCCAGCAGGAGTTTAACCTTCCAGTCAGGTGTTTGTGCACACATACATATATAGGGGAGGGGAGTGCCCTAGGCCTCTGAGTTCTCGGGAGTGGGTTGAATCAACATTTGCCAGAGTTCACCCTCACATACTAGAAGGATTCTTATTTGGGCATCTCTGACTCCCTGAATTATGGAGCTTCTCTGTGGGCCTTGGGCAGGAGTACTCCTGGGAACAGGGAGGGGTGGGGGTCTGGTGACCTAGCTCCTGGTATCTGTCTCCTTGGGTCTCACTGAACTGGCTCTGGGGTCCCTGGGGACAGGTACCTGCAGGAATTTGCACCCCTGGGCACAGGAGGTGGTCTCTACCATTTCCGGGACCAGATTCTGGCTGGGAGCCCCGAGGCGTTCTTTGTGCTCAACGCTGACGTCTGCTCTGACTTCCCCTTGAATGCTATGTTGGATGCCCACAGATGCCAGCCTCACCCTTTTTTACTCCTTGGCACAACGGTGAGGGGGCCGGGAGGGCTGGAAGGTGAGGAGGGGTGATCCAGAGAGGTTCCTGGAATGTAGAGTATCAGGGAGGCAGGAGCAGCCTGGGAGCTGGAGCAGAATGGGCGTCAGGAGGAGATGTACTGCCCGAGCAGTAGTGGAGGTGTCAATGGAGACCCTGAGCCCTTTGGCTGCTCAGACATAGGGAGGGGGAGGGCAGCTGTCAGTTCTCACCCCTGCTGAAGGCCTGTCAGTGGTGGAGCTGCGTGCCAGGTGCTATAGGGGAGGGAAAGGAAGAAAGAGAAAACAGACCTGGCTGCCCTGGAGCAGGCAGGTCACAGCTCGGGTGCGTCTGTCTTTCAGGCTAACAGGACACAATCCCTCAACTATGGCTGCATTGTTGAGAATCCAGAAACGCATGAGGTGAGAGTGGAGAGGGGGCTGGGTGGCTGCCTCCTCTGTGTGTCATCATCCTCCACCCCAGGCCTCTAGAGAACGCTGGAGTACTATTGGGTGGGCCCCAGCTTTGTCAAACAAGTGGGACACTCCCCCAATTGATCGTCTTTTATCCCTTTAAGAGAGACTGGCTACAGGAAAACGGTAACGGTTAATTTCCATGGGTTTGGTGCTCTAATAAATGTATGCACAGGGTGTTAGGGAACACAAAAGGGGGGGCCCAACCCAGTCTTGCCAGGGTGGAGGTGGGGAGGGCTTCCTGGAGGAAGTGAGGTCTGAGCTGTGTTAGATTTGACTAGATGAGGAAGGAGGCAGGAAGGCCTTTCACGCAGAGGGAATGGACTGTGCAAAGGCATAGAGGCAGCAAATAGCATAATGCCTCCCAGTTGTGGAGGTGGGGACATAATTGGCCAGGCAGAGGGGCTGTGAAACTCCCTGCCCCTGAGCCTAACTGACTTTCACACACCCCTTTTATCTGATTATGCTTTGATATAAAACATACATATAAACACACATGCACATATGCATGCACACGAACACACACACATACGCATATATGTGGTACATATATATATATACATACCTCCATATATATAGTTTTGTTCCAGACACCAGCTAGGTGTGAGAAACACAGCTGAAAAGGCACAGTCCCTGCCTCTCAGGAACCCTCGGTGTAGTGGGAGAGACAGAGTCAAAAGCCAACCTTTGCAAGTGACACAGGCCTGAATAACTATCTCTGGGGCCAGCAAGAGAGGACTCACAGAGGGAGTGACAATGTCAATTGGGTTTTGAAATGTGGACTTTACAGATGAAGAGGTGGGAACAGGCATTCCAGGCACAGGTATACAATGGCATGAAGTTGTGTTCTGGGAGCACTAGGAGGTGGGAAGGAGAGGGCAGGAGAGGGCATGGAGTTTGGATTTCTCTTGGAGGTGAAGGTGAAGGGCAGTCATCTCAGGGTTTAAAGGCAGGCAGTGGCAGGATGCACGCTGTATTTTAGGAAGACCGCCCTGGCAGCAGGGAGGAGATTGGAGGTGAAGGTGAAGGGCAGTCATCTCAGGGTTTAAAGGCAGGCAGTGGCAGGATGCACACTGTATTTTAGGAAGACCGCCCTGGCAGCAGGGAGGAGGGGCAGGGCAGGCCTGGAGATCAGAGGGTCTTAGGGGACTGTGGCAGTGGTCCTCCCCACCCTCCACTATCCCTTGCCTGCTCTGTCCTCAGGTCCTGCACTATGTGGAGAAACCCAGCACATTTATTAGTGACATCATCAACTGCGGCATCTATCTCTTTTCCCCGGAAGCCCTGAAGCCTCTTCGGGATGTGTTCCAGCGAAATCAGCAAGATAGGCAACTGTGAGGCAGGCCCCATGGCCCTGTAACCCCAAGTCCCCTGTCACAGACCCCAACACACACCAGTCTCTGCAGGCTCCATCTCAACCTTCTTACCTTCCTCCTCCCTTCTCCCTTCTCCACCTGTCATCCCCAGCTGAGCCTCCTGAATCCCTCCCCTCCTAACCTCATTCTGTCCCTCTTCCTTATCCATGCCACTTCCTCCTCTATCACCGCCTGCCCACTCCCCTTCTGGTCCATTTCTCTAAGCCCTGAGTGTCCCAGAGACGCCTTTCAGAACAGAAGGCAGCACACACTCGGGTGCACACACACTCGGGTGCAGACATGCGTGCACGCACACACACGTACTCTCAGGCTCCCCTTGGAGTGTAGCACCCCAGAGCCCTGCTGTCACAATCCCAGGGTCGCCCCTCGTAGGCCTAAAAGCTGTTCCCTTCTAGGGGCCCCCTGCCTTTACTGAGTCTGCCCTGACTACCTCCCCACCTTGTACCTCATCCCCAAGTAGCCATTTCTCACTCCCGCCCATGTCTCTGCTTCTTTTTCCATCTCTCCTGGCCTCTCTGTCTCTGTTTCTGCTGAGCTGGCATCTCTACCATCTCTCTCTCTCTCCCTCTCTTTCTATGACTGTCTCTGCCCTCATCAGCTGCCTTGCTCTGGGGTGAGTCTGTGTTTCATTCCATCCATTGAGGGGAGGATGGCGGGAGGGGGGTTTTGGAGGGGTGAATGGGGAGGAGAATGAGAATGGGGGAACCTCTTCTGGACATGGGGTAGAGACGGGAAGTGGATCTATGTCTGGGCTCCCTTGTGGTAGCACCCGAGCTGGGCCCTGGTGGGAGAGGTTCCTGGGATGTGAGCAGCCCTTTGGAGAGGACCTGACCAGAACTGGACAGGTGGGGGTATTCCTCTGACTCCAGTCCCTGAGGGACTGTGTTGGTCCCATAGTTGGGGCCCCACTAAGGAACTGATGTTAGCATCCCCCTCTCTGCCAGGGAGGACTCTCCAGGCTTGTGGCCGGGGGCAGGTACCATCCGCCTGGAGCAGGATGTGTTCTCAGCCCTGGCAGGGCAGGGCCAGATCTATGTGCACCTCACCGATGGTATCTGGAGCCAGATCAAGTCTGCAGGGTATGCAGGGTTGGAGATGGGGGGTTCTATGGCTCTGCTGGGGGGGCTGGGTTGCCTGGGGGTTCAGACTTTGGGGTGGTGGGCACAGGCCCTGCTGGCCCCTGAGCACCACCCCCCTTATGGCCCCCAGCTCAGCCCTCTATGCCTCCCGCCTCTATCTGAGCCGATACCAGTTCACTCACCCAGAAAGGCTGGCCAAACACACTCCAGGGGGTCCACGAATCCGAGGTACCCACTCTGTCCTCATTTTTAACCTCCCACAACCAACCCCCTCTGCCCTCTGAGCCATGACTGCTGTTCCAGAATTGAAGTCTCAATCCCTGCCCCCATCCAGAAATGGTTTGGGATATCTGCCCCCAGGTCCTCTCTTCTGCTTCTAGGAAACGTTTACATCCACCCGACGGCTAAGGTGGCCCCATCAGCTGTGGTAAGTGGTGGGCCCAGCCCCAGGGAGGGGACAGTCAGTTGCCATCAGGATGGGTGGGTGGTCCAGACACCACCTGAGCTCTGGGCGCCAGTCTCTCTCTTTGTCATGGCCTGTAGTGTGGTCTCAAGGAGGTTGCTTCCCCCTTATCTGTTCTTGGAGGGGATTGGACTTGGGGATCTTCCTCCAGGGCTTATGGTGTGTGCTCCTCCCCACAGCTGGGCCCCAATGTCTCCATCGGAAAGGGGGTGACCGTGGGCGAGGGTGTGAGGCTCCGAGAGAGCATTGTCCTCCACGGAGCCACATTGCAGGTAGGCTCCAGGTCACCCACAGCAGCATGTGGCATCCCAAGAGTGTGAAGGGAGGACCTGGGTATCCCCCCACTCCCCAGAGCAGGGAAGAAGGGTGAACTCCAAGGGCACTGCCCCTGGCCCCAGCTCACACCCTCCTGTTCCTGCTCCCTCCTACCCCACTCACCTCGTGCCATCCTGTTTGGCAGGAGCATACGTGTGTCCTGCACAGCATCGTGGGATGGGGGAGCACTGTAGGACGCTGGGCCCGCGTGGAGGGTACCCCCAATGACCCCAACCCCAATGACCCCCGAGCCCGCATGGACAGTGAGAGCCTCTTCAAGGATGGGAAGCTGCTGCCTGCCATCACCATCCTGGGTAAAGCTCCCTGGGGGCCTGGGGCTGGGAGAAGCCACCACAGGTGGTGGCCAGTGTTCTGTGGGGAGCATTTGTTCCTCTGTGTGTGTGTGTTTCTTCATTTAGCAAACATTTACCAAGTGCCTGCTGTGTGCCAGGCCCTGTGTGAGTCACTAGAAGCCACCACAGGTGGTGGCCAGTGTTCTGTGGGGAGCATTTGTTCCTCTGTGTGTGTGTTTCTTCATTTAGCAAACATTTACCAAGTGCCTGCTGTGTGCCAGGCCCTGTGTGAGTCACCGGGGGCGCAAGGCCAGCGGCACAGATGGGCAGGGAGGGATCCTTCTGGATGGCCCCAGCTCTCTGCCCGTTTCCCCTCCCTTGACCTCCCCCTGGTGCCCTCATCCCTGCTGCAGGCTGCCGTGTCCGGATCCCTGCCGAGGTGCTCATCCTGAACTCGATTGTTCTGCCACATAAGGAGCTGAGCCGCAGCTTCACCAACCAGATCATCCTCTGAGGGGGCTGCCAGAAGGCCCCCCAATGCCTATCTGCTTCCCTTGAGGCTGCTGCCTGCTTGGCCAGCCTCTGTCCAGAAAGTACCAGAGGAAGCCAGGCAGGATCTTCACCCACCGGGAACAATGTGGGTGGCTGGGGGGACTCCTGGCCTCACTCCCCACTCCCTAATAAACCCTGTGAACCTTAGAGCCAGCACAGACTCGGACTCAGCTTGTGCCTGGGCTGGGGGTGGGGGCGGAAGGGGGGCAGCTGAGTCAGGACCCCCACATTAGCATTTAAATTGGAGTCGTTGCTGCGGGCTCATGAATAATGAATCTGGAGCCCTGGTAAATCTCCCCCTCCCACTGCCTCAGCCTCTTGTGTTGCTCAGGAGGAAGGCCCTCCAGGCTCCCCAGCCGGCCGGGCCCCGCCTTCGCCCCTGCTTGCCCGTCTCCCTGTTCCTCCTCACTGGGCCCGGCTCAGGCTCCCAAGCACAAGGCTTCCGAAGGGAAGTGGGAAGGAGTTTGGTTGGGCAGCGGGCACAGGGACTGCGAGCCACAGGGCCGGGGCTAATCACCCGGCAGCCCGCTCTCCTCTGCCTGCTGAGCCCCAGCCCCGGCCTGTTTTCTGCTTTACCGGCTGCATCTGCTCCCAGCCTGGCTTTTGGCGGGGTGGGGGTTTCGGCCCCGCCTGAGGCTTCATGGCTGTGTCCTACTCTGGCAGGCAGGGCAGGCCTGAGCTGGTGCCATTCTCTCCAGAGGCACAGTGTCCTGGGAGGGCCACGTGCTGTCACCCTGGCCCTGCCCTTTGGGAGCTCTCAGTCCTCCTCTCGCAGCCATCTCTCATGTTTGCCTATGACCCCCATGTGCCCCTCTTGGCGCCCCCCTTTCCCCAGCTGTGGGTGCAGAGCTTAGTTGCCAGATGAGTTGGTAATGATCGTAATCTGCTAATTGAGAGGAATCTAATTACCCGAAGAGAATGTGGGGTGGGGGGGCAGGGTGTGGGTGGGAGGGAGGAGGGGGTCCTGGCAGCAGGCAGGGGTGGCAAGCAGCAGGGTGCTGGGGCCTTGTTACCAGCACGAGGGTCTGGGACAGAGCCCAGGATTTCATAGCTTCATAGCCCGGCAGTTAGGAAGATGCGTTTTCTCGGGAGCTGGACTGAGGGTGCCATGGGGACTGGGCTAGATGTGACCTCCCAATCCCCTTGGGCCCTGGGGCTGTGTGAGATCTTGTGGGAAATGATCGGCATTTTAGCAGACCTGACCTATAACCTGCCCCTTGCCTGTTTCCTCCGGTCCGTGCCTCCAGCCCAGACCTTCCATCAGCTCCGTGTGAGGCTGGGAGGGGGCTTCAGGTTCCCATTCTGGGCCTGGGGTCATCTCCCCAAAGAAGGGGCTGGGAGAAGGGTGGGCCATAGGGCCAGGGTCTGGGTCCCTTCCCTCTCCTCCCCCCAGCCCTGACCCTTCTGTTCCAAGTGGTTGGCAGAGGCCATGGCAGTTCCATCATAAATATGATAATTTAATTATTTTCTCAGCAAAACACCGTGAAATCCAATAAGTCTGTGTCAGGCCCTGGCCCCCGGGACCCCCCTCCTAGACCCAGTGGGGGTGGGGACATGGTGGGGAGAGGCATTGGAAGGGGAAAGGGTCAATGATTGAAGTGGGGCCGGGGAGAGCTAGTGAAGCTGAAGTCTTTGTAACATAACCTCCCCCCCACCCCACCTGTCCCCAGGCTGAGGAAGTCACTGTTGTGTGTGTGTGTATGTGGTGGGGGGCATTTAAGAAGGGCAGCTCAGGGCCCAAGATGGGGAGCAGCCTGTCAATGGAGGGGGAGTAGAGAGCCCCTCGTCCACCACTTCTGGGACCCTGCATCCAACCTTTATTGACCCTGTAGGGGTACCAGGTTGCTGGCCCGGGGGAGGGGCTGAGAGGGGAGAAACGAGGGAACTGGGGTGGGAAGTGGGGGATGAGCGGGGGAGGGATGCGGGGGAGGGGTGCGCTCCTGCCATTAGCGCTTTTTTCAGTTTCCATAAAAAGATTATTCTGTAAAATCAGCGAGGGGGAGCGAGCTGGGGGCCGGGGAGGGGGGCGGGTCCCTGGCACCAAGCTGGATGGGGCGATGGGGAAGGAGAGCTGGGGACAGGGGCTGAGTGTGGAGAGAAATTTGGATGGGCTTCAGGAGCCAGCGAGGGGGAGAGGCCGAGCCAAGAACACAGATTTGGGGGAGGCAGGCCAGGACTGGGTGGGGTGGGGGAGGGTCTCATCTCCCTCCTGTCCCTTTGGCGGGGCTGCCGGCCCCAGTCCCACCTCCATCTCGATCCCCTCCTCCTGGCACTTAGCAGCCATTATCGGGGGAGCAGATTGCAGCCCCCTCCCCCTCTGCGGGAAGCAGGCACAGCTGGGGCCCCGCCACATCTGCCGCATCAGCACGGAGCACAGCTGGGTGTGCCCAGAGCCGCGCTCCCCAAAACACGAAGTGGAGGGGGTGGGTAAGGAGAGCCCGGACCCCTGAGACAGACACACTGACACCTCTGCTAACAGACACGTACTCCTCGAGGCGAAGCTACACCCACCAACACACGCTCCCTCGTGTGCAGAGACGGGAGAACCGGCAAACACGCAATTACCCGGCCCCGCCCGCCACCCCCGCTCCCCTCCCCCATCCTTCCTCCCCCACTTCCTTCCCCTCGAGGCTTCCTTCCCTCCGCCACGAGGGCCACCTCTGTACTGCCCTGGGCTCTGGTGTGAGGGAGCAGGGCCTCACCACCCCAAGCACACCTTGGGGATGCTTAAAGAGCAAGAGGACGGGGGTGGTAAGGGGCATCCGGTCCGAAGCTTGAGCCCTGCAAGGCCACCTGCCCTCTTTCTCCACAAAGCCCATACTCCTCCCCACAGGGAAGCCCCCTCTGACACTGTGATCCTTGCCAGGGTGGCGGGCTGGGCACCCATGACTCTTCCCTGTGGCACTCCTGTGTTCCTTTGACCACCTCAAGGAGGCGCTGTGTGCCCTCAGTCTCAGCCACCAGCTCAGACAGAGGCTCCCAGGCCCGGGCACCTGCCACTCCCTCCCACCCTATAATCAACCAGTACCCTACCCTCAGCAGTGTGTCCCTCCTCTTAGCCCCGATGACCTGCGCGGGTGCGGGGGCTCCGTCCACGACAGAAAAATCCGCCTCCCCAGAACAGATGACCGGGAGTTCCTTCTTTCCTCTTTTCCCAGTCCATGACCACCTCTTGGCCCCTGATTAAGTCCTGCCCCCTTCTCAGCCCTCATTTCCCCAACTCCTTGGCCCTGGTGTGTTGCCCTCAACCCTCCCCTGCCTGCCCCCCCACCCCTCCCAGGCCCCTCAGAGCTTTAATCCCTCCTGCTGCTGTGCCGCCTTATCTGCTCCCAGCAGCTTTCGCTGCCGCAAAGCCTTCTCCCCCTCCTTCCCTGCTTTCTCTGCTCTCTGAGCAGCCCCCCTCCCTGCCCAGCCTGTCTCTGCCACTCAGGCCCCCGTCAAGGCTCCTGGCTGACACCCCCAGATCAGTACCCCCATTCCCTTTGCCCTCTCTCCAGCCTCAGCTCCGAGGCTGTGGGCTGCTCACCCACTCCCACGCTGGCCTCTTCCCATCCCAACCCTCCCCCACAGCCCCCACAGACTTGTTAGTTTCTGGCCAGCCAGGATTTTTCATCTTTCTTCTTCCTGTCCTCCCCTTCTGGTCCCCTCCCCAGTTCCTGCAGAACTGTCCCGCTCCCCATCTTGGACCTGGTCCCCTTCAGTCCCATTGTCTGGGCTTGGGAGTACCTGAAAGGGGATGAGGGTGTTAGTAAGAGACACAGGAGAGGGTGCTGGGCTGGGCTTGCCCTAGGAGGTCAGAGGTGGGGGGTGCAAAGAGCACTGGCGGACAGTGGGGGCAGGGCCTGGCGGTAGGGCGCTAACCCCCTTCAGTCGCCACAGATCACGTCCGGGCCTCCCCACCCCCCTTCGCTGGGACTCTCATTAACCGCTTCTCCTGCCTCGTCCGCGGCATAAATAACCCAGATAAATCAGCCGCCTTCCGCCCCCCGCCCCTCGGCCCCCGCACAGCCCGTTTGTCACCGCTGCTCGCTCACCAGCCAGGCCTGGGCCGCCTCGGCCCTGGCCCCTCCATCCTTGTCCCTTCCCACCCAGGTCTGTCCCACACTGGCTCATCCCCTGGTCCCATACCAGGGCCAGGTGTGTGGGCTGGGGAGGGTGACAAGGGGGTGTCCGCTGGGTGCAGGGGCAGGCTGGGGACTCTCTTTCTAGGAGAATGCTCTGTCTAGGAGTTTGGGGGTCATGTAGTTTATGAATGGGGCTAGCCAGACAGGGATCCTAGGGCCCACAAATGGTAGGAGACAGCAGATACGGCTCAGCTTGGGGGCCCCTGTGCTGTGAGAAGAGGCTCCAAGTTGAATCCTGGGAGGTCTCCAGGTCTCCCTTTGGGGCATTTTGCCCAAGTAAAACCTCCATGCCTGCTCCCAGGTGTCCTGAGCCAGAACCATCCTGCTCTTCCTGCCACCCCCTCACCCTCTGCCCCCACTCCCAGGCCCTGCCTTGTCAGGCTATGCAGATGTCAGTCCAATCTCTGCCTCTCAGCCCATCTACTATTCTCTTTCTCACTGTCATGAAGTCCGGTTCATCCCCTGGGGGGTGGAGAATTGGACTGGGGACAAATCTGGGGAATGGGGACAATTGGAGGGCAGAGGAACCCTGGCTGAGGCTTGGCATCCTGACCCTGCAACAACCCCCCTACCCCCCCTGCATTCCCAGCCCAGGGTCCCCAACAGCCCTGTTCCCTTTGCTCACACCCAGCTCAGGTCCTGGCCAGCCGCAATCAGCCCTGATGGGTCCTGATGTTTCACTGCAAGGGGCAGCTGGTCCCCTGGGAGAGGGTGGGGGAAGCAGGGAGGGGACAGGGGAGCTTGGGCGCAGGGCTGGGGGTGGGGGTGGGGAAGAAGCTGGGCCGGGCCCCAGGGACCAGCTGGGCAATGAGCCGGGGAAGCAGCCAGGAGGCTAAATGAGGGAGATTATCACCCAACTGCAGCCGGGCAGAGAGGGAGGCAGGCAGGGAAGCAGGGAGAGGGAGGAGAGAGGGGATGGGGCCAGAGGCAAAGGGGATAGAGAAAGACAGGGAGGGGGCCAGAAGAGACTGGAGAGGAGTGGGGGGCAAAGGCCAAGAGATGCTGGAAGGATTGGGGGGAGCTCCCACTGAGCATAACCAGATTCCTGGAGGTCTGAGAAACCGGATGACGGCGACCTGGGACAATTGGAGACAGCTGGCTGTGGGGCAATGGTGGGGGTGTGCCTGTAGCTGACTGCTGCTTGCACCACTCCCCCACAGTCCTCCCCACCACTGCTCCCCCATACCCAGTTACCACCTAACTTCATTCCTTACAGAGGTTGAAGGCTTCCTGCCATCCCTCAGGAGAAAGGACGGTGTGACTTGGGCTCATGATGGAGGCCAGTGTGTTGTGGGGGGAGTGTGACCCTGAGATTTCAATGGGTGGCAGGGGAATTCAAGGACATGTATGGACTCCAGGGCAGTGTGAGTGCTGGGGAGAGCTTGGGGGGCAGCTTCCATTTTCTTGGCAGAGCCCCAGACTGAAGTAACCTTAAAAAAGCAATTAAATCACCTTTTTAAAAAAACCCAGTAAAGAAAAATCAATATTAGGAGAAAGGGGAAGAGAGAGAAAGATGGGGAGGAATGGGGGTGGTGGTGGGGAGATCTGGAAGTCTACCAGGGAGGCGAAAGCATGGGAGAGGGTTGCCTGGGCATGGGGCAGAGAGAGGGGGCTATCTATGGTCACTCGGACATTACTAACAGTAGAGTGTCCTCAGCAACTGCTCCCAGTGCCAACCCCACTTTCCCCTCTGGGATGCTGTGTGCCAGCCAGCCACAGCACCGGACCCCAGGGGTCTCATCTTCCCAGCTTGGGGAGCCTACTAACCGAGACTCATCCATGCTTGTGGGGACCTTAAGGAAGCCACTTTGCTGAAAGGCTCAGGACAACCTCAGCAGGGCTCCATGCATGGCCAGAGCTGGGTGTTTGAGTGGGCTCCATTCTGGGTGACCCTGATGAAGCCTGACCTGGCCTTGCAGCCAGGGTGGTGAGAGTGGCTTCCTGCCCCTGAGGGAGCAATCCCTAGGCCCCTCCCCCGAGGCCAGGCAGAGGCTGTGGGGCCAGGCCTGATGCAGGGGAGGGGTGGCCGCTGGGCAGCGGGTGAACCTCGGGCTCTAATCCCCAGCAGCTGCGTTTCCCTCAGATCGATTCCCTTCTCACTTTTTTTTTCAGCTTCTGGTTCCGCGGCTTGGATCGATGGAGCCGCCTCCCCCGCCCCTCCGAGTTTCCTCTCCCTGCTGCTCATTAGCGCCCCGATTAATCAGCACCCCCCTTCCTCCGGGGTACAAGTGCTTCCTCCCCCGTGAAGGCTCACACTCTCACACGGGTCCCCAGAGCACAAGCAGCTCATTCTTGCCACCCCCACCCTGAGGGCACCAATGCATACTCTCCTGGCCAGCCAACAGGGGCTCCCCACCCTCAACTGCGATGACAGCCACGTGCCTGCTTCCCCTCCACGAGAGAAGACAGTAGCCTCCCTAGGGCTCCTGTGCCCCACCCTGTCAGACTCTGGGCACCCCTTGCACCTGTTCCCTTAGAATAGCATTCCCTCCTTTAGCCCGGGACATCTTCTTCCTGCCTCCAGCACCCCCATTTGGGCTCTTCCTCCTCCACTCCACATCCTCTCCCCTACATATGAGAGCCCCCCCCCATCCTTTGCTCCCTGGCCTATTCACCCAGCACCCCTTCCCCCAAGACTGGAGTGGCATGGGCTTTGGGAAACATTTGGGGAACACAAAGTGGCTACCTACGGATGTGCAAGCAGCCAGGTGCCCTCTGTCCAAGAGGCATGAGTGACTGAGATTGGGGTTGGGGGCAAAATGAGGCAGAGTGGTGTGGAAGTCAGGAGCAAAGCTTAGGCAAGCTGAGAATCTTGGTGAAGTCACAGTTGTCCCCCAGTCTGTCTTGCCTGCCCTCTTCTTCCCCCTCCCCTCCCTCATTCAAACAAGTGGCTTTCTCAAGGAGTTTCTGGAAGCTGCTGTGAGTGGGGTAGTGGGAAGAAGTGGTGGCTGTGCTGGGTGCTACAGTCAGAGTAAGGGAGGCCAAGAGGTGGGTGATAGATTGGCTGACCCTTCAGGGGGTGTGGTCCAGAAGAGTGGCAAAGTGAGCTGAGGACACTGGGCACAGCGCTCCTCTCTAGGTGGCCTGGAAGTGGGGCCATCTGGGGTCCTTATGAGTGGCTAGGGTATAGCAAGAGTTTGGGAGGCAGCCCCAATCCTAGGACCCCTGTCCTGGGTTGGGGGCTGTCCCCTCCCCTGGCCTGGCTCCTGCCACCCGTGCCGCCGGTGAAACGCTGTTGACATGTCCTGAATTATTAAGCACGGGGTGGGCTCCGGAGCACATGCTGAGCGGAGCGGCTGGGGCTGCGCGGCGTGGTGGAGCAGCGCTCGCTCCCTCGCTCGCTCGCAGGGACACACGCAGGGGCTGACAGCTGTGCTGGTGCTGATAAGGGAAGCCACAAGGAGACGATCGAGGAGAGAGACAAGCGGCAGCAGAGGCAGCAGCGGCAGAGGCAGCACCAGGGCTGCGGAGCTGCTGGGAGTGGGAGTGACTCCCCCACCTCGGGCCCCCACCCTGTCCCCATCCTCCTCCCGCTTGCCCTGAGTTTAGAAGAGCAGCCGCTGTCACCACCGCCACTCCGGAGGGCACCAGGGCTGCTGGCCAGGGAGGGACAGGGGCAGGGAGGCTTTGGCCAGTCCCAGCAGCCAGGGACAGATGCCGATCGAGATTGTGTGCAAAATCAAATTTGCTGAGGAGGATGCGAAACCCAAGGAGAAGGAGGCAGGGGATGAGCAGAGCCTCCTGGGAGCTGCTCGGGGGGCAGCAGCCCCCCGGGACCTGGCCACCTTTGCCAGTACCAGCACTCTGCATGGGCTGGGCCGGGCCTGTGGCCCAGGTCCCCATGGACTGCGCAGGACTCTGTGGGCACTGGCCCTACTCACCTCGCTGGCTGTCTTCTTATACCAGGCGGCCGGCCTGGCCCGGGGCTACCTGACCCGGCCTCACCTGGTGGCAATGGACCCCGCTGCCCAAGCCCCAGTGGCGGGCTTCCCGGCTGTCACCCTCTGCAACATCAACCGCTTCCGGCATTCGGCACTCAGCGATGCTGACATCTTCCACCTGGCCAATCTGACAGGGCTGCCCCCCAAAGACCGGGACGGGCACCGTGCCGCCGGCCTGCGCTACCCGGAGCCCGACATGGTAGACATCCTCAACCGCACTGGCCACCAGCTTGCCGACATGCTCAAGAGCTGCAACTTCAGTGGGCATCACTGCTCCGCCAGCAACTTCTCCGTGGTGAGTTCTGCCAGCTGGGCTGCCCGGCCTGGGGTGGCCAGAGGCTGGCGGGAGGGGGGGTTGGTGTGCTGGGCATCCTTAATAGGGCTTCCCTTCCTTCCACCACCAGAGGCTGGCCTTGGGTTCCCCATGCCTGGTGTTTCCCTCTGGCCTCCCAGCCGTGGAGCGGTGGCTGCTCCTAGGGGCTTACCCGGGCTGCTGCTGTTCCTCTTCTTGCTCTTGCTGCGGCTGCAGTGGCCAGGTCTGGGGGCTCGGGTGGGGGGCCTAGGGGGTGGGCTCAGGGGTCCTGGAGCTGGTCAGCTTGCAGGGAAAGGATGCACCATCCAAGGCCAGATCAGCCAACCCCCACTTGTCTCTTGCTCCCTTTTTCTTCTGTGGCTACTGGATTCTTCTCGCTACCAAAGGAAGGTGGTGGGAAGTGGGTATTTGGGGAGCTCCAGCTAGGGAAGGACTCAGAGCTGCCTATTGGGTAGCTGGCCCGGCCGGCAGGCTTGATAGAGCCGGTCTTCATGTACACTGGGTGCCAGTGTCTCTTCTCTGTGTCTCTTGCACACCCTCCCACAGACTTCCTCACACATCCCTCTTTCATGCAGCCCCTTCAGCTTCTCCCGCTTGCTGGCCCCCCCCTCCAGCTCCTGTTCTTGCTGCTCCCTTGCCCAGCTCTGGCTCTTACACTGGGAATCACTTGTTCACTCTGATGTGCATAACTTACCCTCATTGCTGCCCACACGCATGCACACATACACACACACACTCCTGCTGCTTGGGGACACAGTTTCCTGCACGCTCCCTCTCTCACACACACTCAGTGTCCCTGTCACTACACTCACATGCACACCTGCACACTCACACACCCACACACCCAGCAAGCTACTCATCTCCATGCCCATATCCCAGCTCTTCCTCAGCTGCCAAGGGCAGGGTCATGCTGTGGATGGCATCCCCTCTCGCGATACCCCCCCCACCTACCGCAACCACAGTTCCCCATGTGGGGACTGCTGGTGCCATCTCTACATATGTGTGAACACAAGTACACACTGTCATTGGAGGGGAGTGTCAGCTTGGGCTCCTCTCCCAGGCACACCTCCCACAATCAGGTATGTGAATGTGGGGGGTGTGTGTCTTGTGTGCTGTCTGTCTGTCAGTGCTCCATTCACCCAAAGTCACAGGGTATCTATTATTCATGGTGCTTGAGACGCCTGTCCCCAGTCCACAGTTGACTCCCAGCATTGTGTTATATGTGCATGTGTGTTTTCATCCTTGCTACCACTGCCCAGTGCATATGCAAATTCCTGGCATCAACATGGTGCCCGTCCAGCCCAGCCTCCAGCAGCCAGCCCCAGTGATGGGACTTCCCACCCCATCCAGGGTCCTTACTCGCTGCCTCAGTATCACCAGGAAACATGCTCTGACTAGGTTCCTTGCTCCCACCATGCCCGCAGTATCTGGGGCCTCCTGCCACTGGTTGTGGGGAGTTAGGTAGAAAGAGAGGAACAGGAGAGGATTGTGCTGGGAGATGAGTCAGGGGCCACTGGCCTGTTGTCTGGCTATCTACCCCCTCTGCTAGGAAAAACCACTGCTCCCCAAAGTCAGGGCTGGGAGAGTCCCCACGGAGGAGGGGGTGTGGAGTGTGAGTGTGGCCTTTAGGATCCTTGGGGCTCCTCCATTCCACATTCTTACCCCTCAGTGTTGGGGGGTGGGCAGAGCCTATTCTCAGCAGGTGCTGTTGGGCAGAAATCAATGGGGTCTTTGTGTCCCTGAATGAGAGTTTGTTGTCTCAGACTCCTGTTGGGGATGGGCAGGAAAGGGGAAGGGTGATGAGACCTCAGTGGAAGGGAAGGGGAGGAAGTGTTGGAGGGGGGTGAAGAAGGAAGGGGAGGGAGGCAGAGTGTTCCTGCTTGGCCTCCAGGAGAGGAGGAGGTGCCTTGAGGATACAGAAACAGGGAACCTCCCGATCAAGGCCGGTGAGTCCCTTGGAATCCTGGGGATTACTGAGAGGAGTGAGGGTGGATTTCGCACAGGCCCTCTGGTACCCTGGGGCTGGAGAGAGGAGGATGGTAGAAGCTGGTGGGTCTCAACTCTGGGGCTGTGGTGGGAAAATGAGGGGAGGAGGGGCAGAGCAAGCATTGGGGGACAGGAATTCCCCTTCGGGGTTCCTGCTTTCCCTCTCCCCTACCCAGCCTAGACCCTTCTGCCCACCCCCCACCTCCCACCTCCCACCCCCATCTACTAAATGTACTTCTTTGGACTTGGCATTCTAGGGCTGATCTGCTGCAAATTCACCAGGGTTTGCAATGTGGGGTGGGTTGGGATGGGGGCCCATGATCCACAGCAATGGGAAGATAGGGTTGTTCGTAGGGGCAAGATTGGAGAAAGGGTATGGAGATGAAGACATGGGATCTCTGATGATGACCCGAGGTCCATGATCAACTCTGTGGTGAGGATTTGGAGTCCATGATGGGGCTTTGAGGTCTATGGGGGGAGAGGGGTGCATGAACCAATTGGCGGGGAACCTGCCAGGGGATGGGAGGTGATACAGTCAGAGACAGTGACAGGCTTTGGTAAGGGGCTGTTATGTGTTTTCTGTTGCTTTCCTTGTTTCCTCCTTCCCACTCCCCACTCTGCTGTGACCTTTCTTCCGGAATCCAAGTTAATAAATGTCACATTTTCCAGCCTATTTTTACTCCGGGTAATGTGCCCTCCCCCAGTCCCCTATGCTGCTGCCTTGCTTCTGTTACCACTGCAGTCGCTCTCACCCCACACTCCTTAATGTCCCCTCATTTACTCCCAGTCAGTCAATCAACATGGAATTCTGTGTGCCTACTATGTGTTAGGCTTCCTGCTAGGAGCTATGGAGACAGCAAAGATAGAAAGCTCTAGTCCCCAGTTCCTGTCTTCAAGCAGCCTACAGTCTCATGGTGGAGCCAGGACAGGGACACTCAAAAGCTTAAGCAACCACGCAAGAGGTAATCAGCCACGCAAGCAGTGTCATAAGGTGCCAGGATTAATTGCCAGACAAGCTGCATGGATAGCGAGGGCCTGAGTTCAGAGAGAGAGAGAGGCTTCTCTGGGCTGAAGAGAGCTGGAGAGTCTTAAGGGATGAGGCAGGCTGGGCACGATTTGGAGAGAAGGATAGGGAAGACTGAGAAACCGATTGGGGGCCCTGGTGGTAGGGGTGCTCTCTCCCTCTCCACCCCTGCTCCCCTCCAGCTAGCTCACTCCAGCTCTTCCCTTCTTTCCCTCTCTCCTCCTCAATCAGCCTCACACCAACCCACTCCCACCTATATCTCCCGCTTTCATGGCCAACTATATGTGCCCCACACCACCCCCTCCCATCTTGTAGCCAGCTCTCCCTTCCTCCCCGACTCTTGCCACCATCTGCTGCCCCCACCCTTTGCTCCAAGCCCCAGCTCTTCTTTCCCCACTGCAGCTTGCTCTCAGCCTGCCTGCTTCCTAGAAGGCAGAAATCACTCTTTCTCCCCAGGCTTCATTTCCTTAGCTGTAAAATGCAAGGGTGGCTCTAAAGTTCACTACCTCCTCTCAGCTGGGACTGTACACTGGAGTGGTCAAGTGTGTGGGTTCTGGAGCTGTCAGGCCATCTGGATTCAAACCTTGGATGTACCCTTTAAGTTGTGCGGCCTTGGGAAGCCAAAAAGCTCTCTGAGCATTAGTTTTGTATTTATCAAATAGGATATTAGAAACTAAAAATTTGGGGTTGTAAGGATTAAAGAGATGTCTGTAAAGAGCTTAGCACAGTGCCTGATACGCACATAGTGTGCACTCTGTGAGTGTCAGCTGTTATAAATGCTACCACCCCAACTCCTGGCTATCTTTAACCTGACAGTTCTCAGCACCACTTACTGACTTCCGACCCATACACTAATGCACTGGCATCGTCGCTACTCTCCATCACCTAGTCCCTCCCAACCTTTGACCCACAGGTCCACCCCTCGCCCACCCTTTTATAACATTCCCATTCTATCCAACCCTCCCAGATAGGCATGCACATGTGCAAATGTGCAGGAGCGTGCACACACTCTCTAGACCAGTGCTAGCCAACAGAACATTCTGTGATGATGGAAATGTTCTGTGTATGCACTGTCCAACATGGTAATCACTAGCTCCGTGTAGCTATTGAGCATTTGAAATGTGATTAGTGCAACAGAGAAAATGAATTTTTAATTCAAATAGCCACATGTGGCTAGTGACAGCGCAGCTCTAGGGATGAAGTACGGACTGCTTGGGTAGGGCAGGGCTGGGAATTACTTCTGGGACCAAAGGATATAAGGTGGTGGCTGCAGGCTGTGATCAGAAGTCGGGCTATCTACTCTCTGGGCTGAAGTTCCAGGTTGAGCTGAGGATAGGGTCTGTGTCTGTGTGCCAGGGGCATCAGGATGTCTAGAAACACCATGTGAGCAAAGGCACCTTTCTTCCCAGGTGCAGGACATGACTTTGGTCATTTCTCTTCCATTCTACTATCCAGAAAATTGAGGCATGGGGGAGGTAGAGAATCCCTGAGGAGGCAGGAGTAGGACCCAGTCCCTGTCTGTGGGGTCCTCAGGGGTCCAGGAGCCTCTGGAGGGGCAAGGGATCAGACCCCTGTGGGCGCCTCACTGTCTCCATCCCCTCTTGGCTCTCAGCCTTCCCTCCCCCTCCCGACCCTCCTTCCCACACGCTGGTGACTGCCGTGACTATTAATCACTCGCCCTGTTCTCTTCCTCTCTACTAATCAGGCACAATTAGACAAGGCCTCTTCCAGCTGGGCAGTCCCCCTCCCTGCCCTCGTTCCTCCTCTCCCAGCCCCACCCCGCCACCATCCAGGACAGCTGAGGCAAGGGAAAGGCATGCAGGCCCTCTATCATTCTCTGGCTGTCCAGCCCCCAATTAGGGGCTCCTCAGCACCCCTTCCTTCCATCCCAGTTTCCTCCTTAGCCCTTTCTCTTCGCTGGTGTGGTCAGGCCAGTATCGGTAGTCTTTGCCCTTCACCACCTGCCCTTGGC